TAGGAACAGAGAGGGAGTGATGAGTACCGAGAGGATCGGGGAAAAGCAAAAGCAAGCGAGAGAGAGAGAGAGAGAGAGAGAGAGAGAGAGAGAGAGAGAGAGAGGTTCTTTTTTGACGGAAGGACAGACGGAGGGAAGAGAACCGATCTGGGTAGGAAAACGTCCAACTTGAATCCTGGGCCTATACTAGGATAGTATAAATTCCAGGCGTTACAGAGAGGTTGGCGAACTCGCCTCTTTTGCGCATCCTCATGGTGCTTGTGAGCTGGATGCAAGGCGCTTGTTTTGCCTCTGATTCACAACAGGAGTGGAGTGTAGCCTTCGTCATCCTACTACGGTATGCGGTCCGTTTACGCTTCAGCAACCAGAGGTCCAGAGCGAGGGATGTGGCCTTCGATCTCTTCCGTTCTCCTTTCTCATCTTCGTCCGTCCTCCTCCTCCATCCTTCCGTCTCTTCCTCTCTCTCACTGTCCCTTCACTCCGACGCTTCTGCAACCAGACCAACTTCACTGACTCAGAGTTCACTCTACTCGTCTGAGTCGTGTTCATGCCTCAGGCTGGTCCTTGTCTTTTTGGGGAATCTGCTTAGTATCACCGAACAAGAGAATCTGCCTAGTGTTCAATTTTCTACGAGCTGAACGCCCTCGGGGGACTTTGCGTTATTTCTTATCTTCCTCCCCTCCCTTTCCTCTTTTCTGAATGAATGGCTATAAGTGTTTTTCTTTTGGCTTACATGTTGCTTGGGGTATTTATCTCTTCTGACGGTAGGTTTCATGTTCGGTGACTTCGGTCGATGATGAGCTATGTAGCTCCATGAGCAGCAGAGGAGAGCAGAGGCGAGGAGACGTGACGCTGACACCTTTCCCACTATATCGATAGGACCATCTCTACCATACTTACTGTCTAATATGGGCCTCGCTGCACTACTCTCGAAATGTGCAAAACGAGAGTAAATCTTCCGCTAGAATATGGGAAGATGCACGGCCATGATTTTTGTCTTTTGTGCATGTGGAGAGCAGTGCAGCGAGCCCGCATAAGGATAAGGATAAGCATGTAGTCATAATGGGTCTCGCAGGTACACGACTAACAAAATGTGCAAAATGAGAATGAACCTTCCTCTAGAACATGGAAAGAGAGATACACAGCCAAATTTTTTTTTTCTGTCTTTTATGGAATTCAATGTGGAGTGTAGTGGAGCGAGGCTGTATATATCGTTGTGATGGTGGTTGAGTATTGGTGGCGATAATATTGGAATCAGATGTAATAGTTCGTTCGCTCATTCTGAAAATAGGGTGGCCTCTGGTTTCCCCCATAGCCACAATCGTCTTTCACTCCTCCTTGTCGGAAGCTTCTCGAAGTACCTAAAAAAAAAAAAA